ATGTAGTGAATGTCTGAAGCTCTATAGTGTAAAACCAACACAGATAAAAGTGTGCACATTAGGCTGTGACACGCATGTTACATGTCAAGCAATAATGTGGTTGTTCGTTTCCATGAGGATATCTCTGCCTGAACATCTTGACAGGTAAAGGACTTTGGGATTCCTTATAGCTTCTTAGCACCATTTAGGAACCTCATAAGGTCCCTGTTCTACAGAAACTATAATAGGAAGCATGCAAAGTCCCAGCACTATTTGTACAGCACCTATCATGGTGACTGCTGATGCACTTTCGCATACGCTTAAGAGTGCTTACCAATATGCGATCCTTGGAAAGGACACACAAAGGTAACACACAAAGGTTTTGTGACACCTAACCTAGTGGTCTGAAGGTGAAGACCTCCAGTCTAAATGATTCCTGACCCAAGTCCTTAATGGGAGGACCCCTCAAGGGGTTTCTTTTAGCTTTTGTTTTCTTTCTTTTTTTGTGTGTTTAAGGCAGCAGGTTCCTGCTGGAGTCAGCCAGAGTATATTGGTTCAATCATGAAAAAAAAAAGCTAATTGCCCCCTCAAAGTAACGCTGCTCATAGTTTATTCTATCCATCAAGTCCTAATCCTAAGAGGCTATTGCTTAGCAACACAGGCTTTATATGTGCTCCTCATCTAGTCTCAACTTTTATGGATACTCTGGCAAACAAGTCTGTCTGGAAGCACATGCACCCATATTCATTCCACTTTTGTATATGATTAGAATAATGACTGTAATTAATCAAAAGCTCAGTGCATATATGTGTGTGTATGTGTGTTTCAGGTGGTGGAGGGTGGGGGTGTTCATCGTAGAGTGCTTTTAATGCTCAGCTCGCTGTTTAATAATCTTAGCAGGGGACCAGCGGAGAGGAGGCTTTAACAAAGCGAACCTTGCTGATGTCTTCCTCTGTCCTAATGATAAAAGTATAGCGGTCCTCAAGCACCTCAGAGCCACCGACACGTCCCCACTCCATTACCAATGGGAACAGCAGATACAGGCAATCTAGTGAAAGAGAGGATAAAAAAGGATGAACGGTGGTGAATCTACAGAAAGAGTTCTAGAATATCTAGACGCAGGTGCAGCAGCGGGTGTGTTTTGATGCAGGCCTGCAAGACAATAAGGATCTGAGAGGCTCTTTTTAATTCATAAGTTTTGTCTATTGTTAAGCTCAGGAGTCATTATAATCTCTTGCTTTTGCATCACCTTCAGGCACCTTGCCTTAGCTTCAGTGACATGTTTCTACAGCAAAAACCACCACAGCTGCTGATGTTTTATCATCAGTAAGTTTTTCATCAGTTTTGTTTGTGTTTTTGTATATGTCCTTGAGCAGCGCTCAAGGAATATTGAGTTGATTTTAAGCGAAGGCGCTGACAGCAAGCTTGACAGACTGAATGCAATGATACACGCTGGCTTTAATGCAGCACAGTTCTTGGCAGGTAAAGAGGGAATGTCAGTCAAGATGCGAGCCGTGAGCAGTGTGCAGATCAGTATCAGCACTCTTGCTAATGCACTTAAATGACTTTTTTGTTGTTGTTTTTTACACTGTGTCCTAACACTGACTTTGAGTTTTTTTCTGTTTTGCATAATCCGTGTCTTTCGACTGCTGAAAAAGCCCAGTCATCGCAAAGTTTGCTTTATTTCGTACTCTGACAATTAATCTTTTAACTGCTTTTTTTAAAGAGCAGATCTTCAGGTTTGGGGTTGTTAATTAGATAGGTTGAAATTTTAAGGTAAAATCAAAAGCAGTATTTTTGCAAATCTATTTTTTGACTAAAATAAAAAAGAAAAACAAAGTTTACTTTCTAGAACCATTCAAATAAAAATTCAGCAAGATTTGAGGGAATTTGAAAGTCAAATTAATCCGTAACAGCAACAGCTTCCATCAAATCTACAGACTTTTTGGCAGGATTTGGTTGAGGTTTGTGGACCCAAATGTAGAGGCAGTGGGGCAGAGGTGAGTGTTTTGATGATTTAATGAAGTGAAAACAAACAACTGAGGCAGGAATCCAAAAATCCAAAAATGAAAACATGAAAACAAAGTCTTGTTTGTCAAGGGAGGAAGACTCAATGAGACGGAGTTGGAGGAAGTTACATGTGAAGTTAGACGAGGAACCAGCCCTGAGGAACTGCATAAGGAGTGTATTTATGGGAGACTGAAACAAAGAGAGGACTAACGAGCAGATATGGAGCAGGTGTGGACAGAGCAGACAGGAAAAGAGCTAGGGAAAGAGGAGAACACAAAAGGGCATATAGGAGCCAAAGCGCACTGAATAATATTTTTATTTGTAAGAGGCTCATATTTACTTTTATTGTGTTTATATGTTCAGTTTTATTCAGCCAAGAGCCTGATTTCAGTAATAAGTACTATTATTTTTTGCTGTGATATATTAAGTATGAGGAAAGGTTTAATTTAGACTTGTATAAGTCTACTATTGGTTTTCGGCTTTTTAAGAGGCCTGCGTACTGTCCTCACAGGTTTTTTGGCAGCGTTTTGTATTTCCGGGTCAGTACGCCGGAAGTAAAGAGTAGCCACGGAGGCTAACAGTTTTTGTACCGTAGCCGTAGCCATTTTTATACGTTTATTAGGGCAGTATCAGCCAACTTTGGATAATTTTCTACCGTGGGTTAACCTTGGATCACTCCTGTAACAGAATAACCCTGGGGAACTAAATAAATGTTCGTCTGACGTTCTTTACATCGAAGTACTGTGGAGTTATTCACGGCTAACACTTAGCCGCTACGGTGCGAGCAGCATAAACATCGTCTCCTTTACCTTCGGCCCTCACAGGGCAGCTGAGGGCAACAAATAAAAACCCGAAAACTGAAAAATAACCAGAGAAGACAACAAAATAAGAAATAAACCACTAAAACTAGAAAACATGGAGCAAAGTAAAACATAACAGAACCAAGAGTGTGACACTTTTAAGATCGCTGTGGTTAAGTTTTGGCTCTGTTCCTCCCAGAATTGTTTTAATTTAGGCATTGTGGTTTCTGTTTTTTGCTTTAGCACCTGTTCAAGGTCATGCTTCAGTTACTGAGTCCCATGGCAGCTGTGGCTACAGTGTAGTGTGCCGCCATTAGCATGTGAATGTGTGTATGATTGGGTGGACGACTGAATATTGAGGCTGAATCATCTATCCATTATCCTGACCAGCTTCCTTGGACCTTTTAGAGCTATATTCCCTAAACATCAGTTTATCCAACTCTTTCCTTCACAGTAAATGCATGCATGAATGGTGCATATTTCATAAAAGGCCGTTTTGTTCTTTCTAATACAGTTATAAAAGGCTCCATCCTGATAATGTAATTGGGCAGATTGACCATCTTTCTCACCCATTGTTCTTGAAATGCCTCCTTGGATCAATCACTCTGCTTTTTTCCAGATAGTCCTGTGTGCCGACTTAAGTTATTTGCATATTTTTAATTGGATGCTAAATAATTTTCTTAATTTTGTTACCAACAATGTTATTATCAGCAAACAGATCACATGTTAGAATTAGGCATTGGTCAGTATTAAATTCTGAATATGTGATAACCTTGAAAATAAAAAAAAATAATAACCGCAAAAATATGACAGTATGATTGCAACTCTATTTCTGAAATGTCTGAATTAAGAAAGGTAAAGGAAAAATAAAAAAAATCTCACTGTTTTGAGGTTTTACAATTAACCTTGCAGACTCCCTAATAACCAGGCTGTCTGGCTTGGTAACACAGTGGTAGTATTTGATTTATTAATTATAAAAGCTAAAGATAAATTGTTCATTTTAAGAGGGCATAAACTTTACCTTGAGTTTAACAACCGGTGATCTCTGGGGAATCATATAACAGCTTTGTTTTATCCTCTGGCTGCTGCTGTCCAAATGTACTAAGAAGGTAGTCAATGTATTCCCACACAGCTAACTTTGATAAGTTTCATAAAGCACCGGTGCGCTCATCACGCTCTGTCTGAAAAGGCCAACGTAGGGGAAAAAGTTTAGAATCCACCTAATGCTTTAGCCAGCTACAGGGGTCATGACGCTACCGCTGCTCACATCCTGACCACACTCTTACTGATGATGAGGTTTATAAAAGAAAAAAACTAAAACATTTAAACCACAGGAACGGTATACTTCAGCAGTTTTGAAACGGACTTCTTCAAACCAGGGTTTACCCTTAAACTGGTAACCAGCTAATGCTTAAATAGGATGATTAATTGTAATAACTATTTAAACTCAAGTGTATCATGGTTGGTATGTTACTGAGCCAAAACCTTAGGTTATTTAAATAGCTGATTTGGATATTTAGGTTGTTTCTATTCTAATAAATAAAAGCTAACACAATAGTTATACTTCTTTGTCTCACTAACAACAAATCACACATGACAGAAAAGTTTTACCATATCTGTAAATATTCTTTAAAGAGGAATTACAGAGTTTTCTAATGATACTGCTGCCTGTGGCCAAAACACAGAACTTTTGTTTAGCTTTTTTTAAAACTTTTATTTGCTTTTGTAGCTTGTGCTTGTACTTAAAGGCATACTATGCAACATTTTTCAGTTAATTAATGTGTTCCATAACGTTTTGGATGATTAAATGAGTCATTTCAGGTCGAACAAATGTTTTCTCGGCCGCCCTGGTGGTCTGTAGGGGAAATACCGTACTTGCAATTGCAGGAGCCCTCGGCCCGCACCCACAGGCTCAGACGTCTCGTGCAACACTAGAAGCACTGTACAAATAGAGCAATGTTTTTCATCTCCGTATTATGGTCAGAGCTTAACAGTAATTTGTCCACAATTACCAAAAGATATGGCAAAAGTAAACCATAGCCTTTTAAACATCTGCAAAGAATGGTGGTTAGTGCTGAAATAGCAATCCAATCCGTGCTCCTAATTTAACATTCCATTAAATGATGAGTATGTAAATTTCTGACCATAACTATATATTTTTTGTGTATATAAGGTACTCCCCTGATAATTTTTAACTGTCCTGACTTACAGATATCAACATGGCAGGAGAACCAAAACCTTACAGGCCAAAGATTGGCTCCAAGAGACCTCTTTCATCACTCTACAGGTTTGTGGAAAGGGTTTTTCTAATTTCAAGGTTTCATTCAGATATTTTCTTCCATCTCTTGTCCTCAACATGTATTTCTGTAGAAATGTTTTCTAATTGTCTTTGTTTAGCTGGTAAGGAAAATGATAGGGAGCAGAAAAGTATACATTGGGGCTGTCAAATCTTTACCTTGCAAAAAAAATGAATCGTACAGTAGCAAGATTTGTGATTTCACAAACCCCTGAAAATACATCTCACCAGGAGCCAGCCGATATGCAGTTACGTGTATAATGTCAATGTGTCAACTAGAAACAGGAAGCTAAACAAAGCAGAACAAATATGGCTGTGTCAGTTTTAGCTGGAATACCCTCTTTATTTTTATATTTTAAACGTGATTTTAGCGTTTTTGGATCAGAACCTGTTTGCATGTTCCCCCAACCGGATTTGGTACGAATTTAATTTATCACTTAACCCAGGTAGTTGTAAAACAAATCAAGTTGCAACTGCTGCTGTGATTGTCTAAAGCTCAACATGGAGTTGGTACCCAATAAGCTCAAAGACTTAGTGAGAGTGTCCCACCCTTTGGCTAACACTTTTTACATGAGCCGCATTCAATTTGAATTCTTTTAATGGGAAAAAAAAAAAAAAAAAGTAAAAAAAGATTGGATGAAAAGCTGCAAATATGTTTTGTCTATTTTAATACAAAGGAACAGGGAATTTAAGCGAGTTAAGATTGACTCTTTTTCCATACATTTCTCCACCACTGAAATCAGGACTTAAATAATAAAACACAGAGAATAACAATTTAACCCAGAACGAAATGTAATCTTTTTGTATTATAAAACATTCCTCTTATTTAAAGGGGTTTTTGCATTTTCTAAATCCCCACCTGTTAGCACATCTAATTTGTCTTTTTTTCTTGGTTCACTATGTCAGACTAGGACCAAATAAATAAAACCTGCATTTGCATAACCCTATGAGAAAGCAATATACTGGAGAATGTAAACACAGTTAAATTATATGTTTTCCCCTGATTTTACCTATGGCTTTTCTGCATAGTATATACTTCAGGCTTCAGCTGCAAACATGAGTCAGCTTTTACTGCTTATTATTTAAATTGCAGTTTAAATAACAAGTGTGGTCTGAGGAGACGTCTGCACTTTTTGAAGATTTCCCAGTAAATCAAAGATATCATCTTCTGAAGACACTAAAAACACCCTGACAAGACTGGTTACAACTGTCTGCGCTCTGGCACCTGCTGCCTGTTGCAACCATATTCATTCCGCATTCATAACCTCATAGACTGCATTGGGAAGAAAAAACATAGAAACCCCATTCCAAAGTACAATGGTGTGGTATGGTGTTGTTTCATTAAATTACAGATTTATTCCAATGTTGATCAGAGTTGAGTTCTCTTTTGACACCCAAAATCTGCTCCTTAAAATTACAAGCTAAAAGCCTATTTTTAAATAATTATCTTAAAAATGTAAACGTTTGAAAATAATAGCTGCAAGGATTCACAGCCATATTTTGGTGAAGCACTTTTGGCAGCTATAATAGTGTCTAATCCTCCTGGATATGTTTGTATGGGAGGGAAGACTGTCTTTACAGATCTTCTGAAGTTTGATCAGGTTGATGGGCAGCAACAGCAGACAGCCATTAGATATAAGTCAGAGGTCTGACTGGGCCACTGAAGAACATTTACAGACTAGTGCATTCACCAAAAAGTTGAGTCCATTCAGTTCACAATGTAAACACATCAAATCTAGTCTGTCTGTTGCTGCATCACACAGACACATCACAGATTGGTTGAAACTCCAACACTGGAAAAACAATTTAGAAATTAGTAAAAATGTCTTAAATTAAGTTTATTTAACCTTATGTTGAGTAAGTAAATGAGACAGTTTGCCAATGGAATGAGTATTTTTACTCTTAAAATGAGATAATTGCATAATATGCACTTGAAATAAGGCAATGCAAATTGTGTTTTCTTATTTCAAATGTAAATTGTCTTGTCCTATTGGCAAAATGTCTCTTTTACTTCCTCAATCCAAGAACAAATGCACTTATTTTAAGAAAAAAACACTTATCTAGATTTTGTTTTTTTCCAGTGAACAAATGTACTTACTTACAGTATACAATACCAACAGTGGAAATCTAACACATTTAAATTTGCTGTGTAGTTTCTTAATGGACTTTTTTCTAAATTCATGCTGATAGTATGTCTGGACTTCTCCAAGATGTCGAAATTAAGTGTAGTTGGAAAAACCCGGTGATACAATTAAATGATCTCAATAAATGTAACAGCAGTATTAATCATTTTTGTGTTTCACTGTATTTGTGCTTTTCCAATAAAATTGCTGCTTGTAAAAACTAGTAATCCTAATCACAAAATAACTAATTTACATATACACTAATTAATCAATTTTAAAGGAGAAGTTCGGTTTTTAACACTTTTAGCCCATTTTCTGTAGTGTCCAGGATGAAATCGAATGATCGACAGCAAAATTTTGACAATTGGTCCTGTCTCTGCTTTTTGGCTCATTTAGAATCCACCCCTGGCTGCTT